TTGTCCTTTTAGATTTTTCAGTGTTTAGAACTTCATCTAGTAAAACATCGTCACCACGTGGTGAGCCACTGTTACTTCTTTGCAATCCAGCAGTGACATCGTTAGAATTACCAATCCCAAGTGTCGGCGGAGTCTCACTAGTAATTTGAACTTCGTTCTCGTTTTCTTTCTCAAGGCCTTTCATCGCACTTTCAACTTTAGTTATTAATGTCAGAGCCTCTATTACTTTCTCCGTATTCATACCCTTATCCATTTACAAAGAGATATGATAATTTCATATGAGAATTGATTCGTATAAATGTATTTAATCAAATATATATTGTTAATATTAGAAATTTAAAATATTTAAAAATATAAAATACCGATTAATTTTATTATTTCAAATAAATTACTATTAAATTTATAATACTCGATTATTAATAATAGATTATTCTTTATATTTTACAATGAATTAGAAACATCTATACACATTTCATTTATGTTTATAGCTATATGAATGGTTGCTATTTTATTTAAGATTATATGAAAATGTAAGCATCTTGAAGTTTTATTAAACATTTTATAATTATAAATAAATCTATTAATATAATTTTGAATCATATTTTTTATTTTGTCTTAAGTTATACTTTTTTAGGGAATATAGTGTATATCAATAGTGTATTCTTACTTTGTTTATAGACTCATCTTGTCCGTCTTTGAAACGATCCTTCGGTAAATTACTTAGTATTTCACGCTGTTTTTTCCTACTTTCGTAATTAGATAGTTGATTTTTATATTCTTGAAGTTTAGCTCGTATCACTTCTCCAGAGTCGACTTTTTGTTCATTAACTGTTTTTCTAAAAACACCTTCTTCGGAACTGCCATTATCTTCCTCGCCACTGTTTTCGAAAACTCCATGAGTGCCACCACTCTGACAATAATATATAATTATACAATAATTTTTTAATAAAACAAAAATAATTATTTCAATAATAAATCGTGTAATTTTGAAATGGTATTTTTCATTACATTATAAAATATTGAATTTTTAATTTAATAAAGTTATAATAATTTACAACATTGAATAAGTTAGTAATTTGATTTATTATTATTTTTTTTACGTAAATATATTATAAATATATATTAATATATTCATTTTTCTTTTAATTTCAATAATTATAAATGATAATATAGCAGCCTTTAAAAATATAATAAATATCATTTTAAATATTCGAATTGTACAATTATTGTATTTCGTAAATACCATATTATATCCTTCTAAAATTCATACTTACTTTTAAATTAACAGTGTGTTGGTCTTTCTTGCGCATAATATTTTCTAAACGATCAAAATCATGTCGAGCTCCATCTAGTTTGCGTAATTTTCTTTCATCCAAATCATCTCTCTCCTCTTCTTTGTGACGAATATTTTTACGCAACGTTAAGCGTTTCTGTGTAGTTCGTTGCAGCCTAAGTGATGGTTTTCTTTCTTCAACAGAATTGACATCCGTGGTCTCCCGATTATTTTCATCTTCTGAGGTTGAATCTATATCTCCGTCAGATTCTTCGAAACGTCTATTTATTTTTCTTAGTGGATTTTTATCCGGAATTTCATCAACGTGACCCATACATGATTTTACCTGCAAATAATAGAACAATTAACTAGAGTTTAAATTTGATTGTATCAAAAATACAATTATATCTGATTTTTGTTCATAAAGACAGATGATTTATGAATTTTTTACTATTATTATGAGCATAAATTGAAATTTAATAAAGTAAAGAATTAAAATTCAATATTTAATTTAATTTTTTATTTTTATATGATGAGAATAAGAATACAAATTATTAATGATTAAAAGAAATACTGTACGAATAAATTTATGTTATGCGTATATCGATTGAATTTGAAAATAAATTGACAATAATAAGTGTTAAGAAATAAAACTATAAAATTTTGCCTGAATACCTAATTTCACTATTCAATAAGTCAGAGTAATAGTTTGGAAACAAATTTGTCTTATAATTTTTTATTAATAAAATTGCTTGCTTACTATTAACATCGATTATCAATAAAAGTAGATTTCGTTACGGCGTTCATTGATGAATTAGTAGTAGTTGGATGGGAAGGAAATACTTATGAGGATGATCATAATTTATAGAGCATGTGCGATTTTTTGAAAGGACATGTCATGTTTTGCTCCTTACATAAGTAGTTTGATTAGGTTTGGGATATAATTGTATCTATGGTACAATTAAACGATTATTATATTATATAAATCTAATTTTAAATGTTACTTGCTTTAAGACCAGGTAGGACCCAAAATCCGATTCCGCCAGATGGTAATTTCAGTTTTACACCTTTTTCCGCGTTGGAAATTGCTGGTTGCACATCAGGTACTTCTTTTTCATCAATAAGATTGAGCGGCTCGTTATTTAACAGAACAGTTCTACAATATTGAAATAATAGCTTTTAATAAATTATTGCATTATCGTATTATCGCTAATAGTTAATATGTATTAAAAAAATATTAACTTAACGATAGATTCATAGATTAATGTATGAATGGTATAAAATTTTAATCATGTTAAAGATTATAATATAAGTTTGCCTATAATGGATATTGGACTTACTCAGAAAACATTCGGTTTGGAGCGTCATAGCCAGGCAGTAAAATATACTTGTGTATAACTTTTAGTTTGATCCCTTTCAGACTCGCAGTAATTTTAGAAGGCGTGAGATTAATACCGAAAACTGTTAATGAACCTTTTTCATATTTGGACGATGGATTTGTGCATTGACTGTAAAAATGCACGTGGGTACGATTGCCTGTTGTAATTTTTGTATCTAGTACTTCACGACCAACTAGCATTTTATGTAGAATTGATACCCAATAATCCTATATTTGCAGATTATTTGATTATAGTAATTTTACTATTAAACATAAAATAAATACAATAAAATAATTTTATTTTATTAATTAACAATGTTTGAGAATTTTATTGATACTTTATTTTAAAGATACTTCTTACTTCTAATAAATTAGTAGTACGAACTACAAATAAATTTCGAATAATTGTAAAAAAAAGTATAATTTTATTTAATAAAAAATCACTTGATTTAAATTTAACTATTTTTTGTAAATATAGTAACATATTAAATGTGTATTTATTATATTAAACGTAACAAATATATTTATTAGAATGTTTTATATGGATAACAACTGTAATTTAAAAGAGTATCTATAACGTACGTTAATAATGAGTTAAAATATGTTTAATTTAGAAAATTACGAAAATTTGCCATGGAAAAATGATAAATATGTAATAATATTTTATACATATAGTTTATATAAAATGGTACATAATTTATTTATAATGCTTTAATCAACATTTACATTCAGTTTTAGTTCTAAATAAATTCTAGTTATAAAAAACTTCATTAAAAATCATTAATACTGTCAATTTTTAATTTATAGAAAGTACAAGTATGTTTTTATTATGAACAATTAAATTAATTTGATAACCGCTGCTTTCATTTTAGATTTTATTTTAGATATTATTTAGATTTCCATTTTAGATGATATTATTTGAGAAAAATTTATAAAATATATAAAAAAAAAAAAATTACTGGTGTAGATCGGAAGGGATTAGAATTGTCAGGCTGCCTCATAATCACTTGTAGACCGAGTTTCGCCGAATTTCCCAATCGTCGTGCCCATACCAGTGCTCCCAGAAATTGTTGTTTGCATTCTTCTGGTCTCGATTCCGCTATAAATAAAGATATTAGCATATTTACTTGTAAGAGAAATATAACAAAATATTGCCTTCAGTATTACCAATCCACAATGGTTTTTTTGAGATGTGACGTCCGGCTGCTCTGTAAAAGGCATCCTTGTCGAACGCAAGATTGTCGTAATGCATGGATACTCCATCAGCTTCCAAACTTATGCTTGCAAAATCTCTAAATAGATGCGGACATAGATTATCGTGTAATTGTAAAGTTATATTAATTGTCTTTACGAGTAGAAATTTTTGGTGTTCGATAATTTTGTTTAGACTAATTACATATTTTATATTATTATTTTACATATATGATATTTAATAATTTTATTATACTTTTTAAATAAATTTAGTTCATTAAGTTTTACGTATTATTTCTTATATATTATGTATTGTCTCATTATTTCTTATGTATTATATATTATTATCGTAGAACTGAAATGTTGTATGATATAGTATATTAGAGTTTAATCGAATAAAACGATGTATTGAATATGTTTTTAAAAATAAATTCCATGTAGTTCTGGATTTGAATTATCATATTTTGGTAAAGTAAACTAGTTTTTATACTTTAATAACGTTGTCTATAATAATGCAATGACAAATTGAAAAAGTTTGAAATTTTATGCAAGACAAAATATATAATAATAACATATATTTTATACTCATTATGTATATTCTATAATAAATTTTCTAAATAATTTCCTTACTTTTCTGTAACAGGAGTACTGTTTTAGAAACAAATTAAATTATTTAAAGTATTCTAAATAATTGAATGCTTTAGTAATGTTTAATTGTAGAACACATATTTTTTCATTCGTTTTAATCTTATATATAAAATGACTTTAATTCTCTTTTCTTTATTTTATTTCAATTCGGGTTTTAAAATAAATATGTTCTTACTAGTATACGCATTGTTACCAGCTTTGTCTATTTAACATACAAACTATTAAGTTTTACATTCCTATGATAATAAGATAAAACTATTATAATATATCAATAATGGTTGTAAATAAAAGTTCTTGATTATTCGTGATTATCAATAAATTCTTAAGGATTTAAAGTGAGGATTACATTTAATAGGTAAACTATATAAATGCAGATTTAAATTAATCTCTCAATTCATAAAAGACTGCAGGATGTTGATTTTCAAGTGAAATTGATAAACTTACGGGTGCCAAGTCACGGCCGAAAGAGATCCACTCGCAGCATTAAAATAGTCTTGAAGGTACTGCTGTTGTTGTCTGGTCTTATAGGTGACGACATCTGGACCAACTATCATTCCACGCTCGGCGTAGCGCGGAAACGCGTCTAACATGTTGCGCAAACGCTGGACGTCACGACCCAGCTCCGCACCTCTCACGTCGCAGCGTGTCTGACACTCTGTTATTATGAGAACCAAATGTACACAACTGTCCTTATACAATTTATGATTTCTTGATGGAAATACTAATAAAGGTGTATTTTATAAATATTTGTCTAATTATATTTATATATCAGATGTTATATATAATGCAGTTATTTAACAGATTTTTCATATAACGACAAATGTAAATATCTAACAGGATTTCACTGATTTTAAGCATATTGATTGAAGCGATACGTTGAAAATAATATTTGATTATTATTTCGTATCTTGTTTATATAGATTTTACAGTAATATGCAGTTTCAAAAATTTGAATATTTCTTGTTTAATATTAAAAAGTATTTTTTAAAAGTACAAGGTACTTATTTACCTATCGATTATATAGTACCATAGTTAAACAATTGATTGAATTACATAGTTGATAACGAAATTATTGAGAATTCTAAAATTTGAAAATAGTTTTCCTTTCTCAAATTAATTTAACATAGTATTGAATGAGGCATAATTTACAAAAACATAGACATATTTAAATATATTTATAATAATAAGATAAGTTATTAATGATAAAGACATGTATTTTTAATATCGACTTGTTACATGTCGTAATTTCGTATATAATTATCATCTCTACACCATTCAAAGGTATTGAATTAAGGAATGACATTTGTCCACAGTTTAGCTTGCTTTAATCATTCTTTTACTATCTAACTAGCAATTATTAAACGATATCTGGAAGTTATATTTATAATTTAAGATTTAAGGATCAGGAAAATGAGGCAAGTATCGTATTAAATTTTTAGAGCAATTTTCTATTTCTAACTTTTATTTTAAGTTAAAATATATTATTTATTGTGATAATGGTATTTACGCATTTATTTTGATTAATAATATATTAATAAACGATTTTCAAAAAATAAATTGTAATTAATATATACATTGAAGTAATTCATATTTACTTGCTTAAAATATTTATAAAAATGATTATCTTTAATTAGTAATGAAAATAACTTTCAAATATTAATATTGAATATTTAGTGTTTTATTGTATTTAAATATTAAAGAAAATGTATTTATTAATTATACGAAAAATTGTTATTTCATAAGATGTCATTAAATAAAAACTAATTTAGATTTTTTTACGAAAATAATATAATGTATTAATCTAATATATATTATTAAATGCCTAATTAATATTGAGCAATAATTTATATTAAATTTATTTATGTATAAATTAATATTGTATGTATATAGAGGAATAGATAATGTTGATTCATAATAATGTTGATTATAATATTTGTTTATTTAACACCAATAATGAAGTCAATATAATTAATTATTTATTAGTAGATGGTAAAAATCAATAAATATAAGTGTTAGAAAACTTGTTTTGATATATATAATATATTTAATTTTATTAATAATATTTAATTATATGCGCAGAAAATTAGTGCCCAATATGTTATAACGTAATATCGAACATCATATAAACAAAAATTAGATAATTTTAATATTATTTTAAATAAAAGAGTAAACTATTATAATAAATGTAATCAGTTGGGATAAAAAAAATTACATTGGTAATTATTACAGGCTGTAATAAAATGTAACACTTACCATAGCCTAGCTGCCAACTAATATTATAGCCCATATGATCGCTAAAAGAAATGAGATCAAGAGCATTTCTTGGATCCCAGAACGAGGTTCGGGCATTGTTACCATTATTACTGCTTTCAGATTGTTGTGGTGCGAGACATGCAATTATGTCTAAGCCAGAACTTTCTGCCCATTGGTGCACCTGAATCCAGTGCTTTTCTACAAATGATAATGTACTTTTTCAAGAGCTTATAAATTAATCATTTGATATTTAAAGTAATATGTTTTTAATGAATTTAGATATATACTCTAACCGATATAGTGAATTTATTATAACCTCTATGCATGTGGTATTATACAACATGGAAATATTATTAGTGAACACATACGAAGAATCATCTTTTTTCAGATCATTTAGGTTTCATATCTTTTTTTTATCATCCTTAAAGGTAATTATTATGAGTAGTTTATTTTATTTTAATTTTTTCATTTAATTAACAAATATGTTAAATTCCATTATTTTATATTTTCAGAAAATTAAAATAAGAAAATATTAGCAGAAACAATTAAAATATAGAAAACATGAAGTATTTTTAAAATTATATAAATAATTTATTATTGAAATTACATTAATTATTATACAAATTATTGAACGTATGTTATAAATTGTAAATATAATAAAATTTTATATTTCACTTTTTAAAAATCTCTATAGTTTTTAAATAAAATTAAAATTTTGAATTGATATATATTATAAAAGACTTCAATGTACAAAATTTAAATGTTCTGTGTTAAAAAACGAAAAATATGTGAAGAAAGTGTAGAATTTCGGAAATTGAAAAATTCTTACTGTTTATCTTTGTATATCATATCGATAATTATTTAATACAATACTCGCAGTTGCTCGTCAAAATAAATATAAATTCAGCTAATAAAGAGCTGTAATAAAATTTCTATGGGAACGAGTAGGAATTTACTTAGTGAATGTGTCGCAGATATGGTAAATTGTATATCGTATCCTATTAGCTATTTTAAATTTGCGAGATAAAGATATATATCATGTGATGTTCTTCTATCATAAGAAATGCCTTATCTCTTGCATTTGATTTCGACGAAACGGTACTAATTATATAAAGAGAATTACTATTCAAGTTAAGCAATAGTCAGGTCATCGTCGGAGGATTCGTTTCATTAAGGACATACCTATAATCTATTCCAAGACTGCAATATATAAATCATTCACATATTTATCTTATCGTTATTATCGTATATAAAATAGTCATTATTTGATAATATTTTATTTTAATTTTTTTTCTAAAGATTTCTTCTATTATTTATTTATTATGATTCTAGTTTAACAATTTTATAAACTGTTTAATTAATATAGTTATTTGGTTTAGATACAAGAAAATTTTTCTGATTAAATTGAAATATTAAAAAAAATTCTTTATAAAGTACAGCGGTATCAATATTTGATTTAATTAAATAATTTTAATAACTTTATACGTAAAATTATTACATTATGATGGCGCAAAATGTCAGAAAAAATGTTCTGCTTCGAAAAATATAAGGGATAGATTTACTATTTTTCTCGGCCATTGAAAGTAAACAAAATAAAAGAAAACGAAGTGTATTTTGTTTGTTCGATATTACTTGTAGTAATTGTATATACAGATAGAAATTTTATAAATAGAATATGTCTAAATAAGATAATGAAAAATTAAATGAACCTAAAAAATATTATCTTGAATTCGTTGTTCTTCATTAAAATATATTTAAAATACTAAGAAACGATTAAATGCTATATAAGCTTATAGAATTTATGAATTAGTTTTTTTTTTAATAAATTATATAATTTGAGTAACCTACCTGAAAACGTGTAACCTGGATCTAACTGTAATTCTTTCGGATACAAGCCACGTTCAAAAATGTATGAATTACTTCGAGGACCACCAATGCGAACATAAGCTGGTGCAAGAGCTTTTGCCATACTCGTCGTTTTCTCAACATCACTGTTAATGGAATTTCATAAATAAATCTTTAAAAGATAATGGTATTATTATACTTTTATAAGTAAGTTTTTGTAAAAAGTTTCAGAATATTTAAAAACTTTAAGGTATTTTTTACTTTAACACACACACACACACACATATATATATATATAAATGAAAATAGTAACACTATATTATAACTTAATTTCATATTTTATTATCTGCATAATCCATAAACATATTAATTACCTTAGAGAGTTACTATTAAATAATGAAACTGGATCTAATGTGATGCTTAAAAATTTTTCGCTAACAACAGCAATTGGTTTCTTAAGATTAATATTTAGTGTCATATCATCTGATACCACCATGCCGATAAATAAAGCGAAAATTTTTAGTGTATAAATACAAATATTTATATCTTTATTACCCGCCATTCTATAGTTTATATACTATTCTAACTACAGAAGTTTTTTTAAAAATAATATATTACAAAAATCACATAATAAACTATAATATTAAAGTAAAACTGCTCGTCGCGACGTCCACTTTAATACTGTTCATTTATCAATCAAAGAAAGACTGGAGACGGAATGGTATTTACCAAAATTCCTGAGACCGCAATGTGATTTAGAAATTGGCATTTTGCTTAATTGCATAAGGTTTGGAATCTAGGTCGACAGTGACTTGATTAAATCTGATTTTGCATACGTGGTGAAAAAAATATTGGATCAGATATCTGCATGAGTACTTTAAAAATTACGAGAAATAAAGTGCAGTTATTTGAATTATATTATAACCTAGATTCTATATTATTAACGTCCTAAATTATAAAAATAAGAAACTAATTTAGTGATTTAATTAATACTTAAATCGACCTATTTCGATTATAAAACAAATAATTACTAATATTGTTTATAGAACATAAATTTTATTTTTTTCTAATGATATTATTTGCATTTCTATGTACAACTATTATTTTTGACAATAATATAAGTTTGTACGATTTTCAAAATAGATTTATACAGAAATTTATATACGAATTATTAGTATATAATAAAATTACAAAAATTATGTTTAAAATAACATAAATTGTTTAAAATAAATATTTTAAAAATAAATTTAATCGAGCTAAACCCATTGGCGAAAAAAATAAACGCGTACACTATGTTAGTAAGAAAATTGAATTTTATTATTCTGGTAGTGGTTAATACTAAATAACATAAAATCTTATTATTTAACTTTTTTATTATTATCAATATTATTGTTTCATATTTTTATTTAGTTATTTCGAAATATATATATATACATATATTTTGTAAGAGTACTTATACGTACATATTTATATAGTAATAAAAGCTATAACGGTGAGGTATCTCCGAATTCATATTTTTTTATTATTCATCTCTTGTTTCAATTGATTAAATTATCTGTTCTTTTAATGGCTTTGGTTTCGGTATTTTGTATAAAAGTAAAATCGTTACTTTTTTTCTGTATTACATATTCGATATAAATATATTTATATATTGATATGAAAAAAGAATGAAGGCAATAAGTTTATAATATAAAATCCCATTAATAATAAAGTAATATGTACTTACCTTCTTTTTTTGTATCTTATGCAATATTAAAAGTTTTTTTACCCCTTTCTACGTTTGAACAAATTTAAACGTGAGTTAAGTAACAATATTTTCAATTATTATATAGAATATTAAACTGTTCTATATGTATAAAAATATTAAATAAGTCAAATACATTAAAAACAAAAATGAGAGCTTATAAATTTCGATTTAAGTAAAAATAAGTTTCACTTAAATGTATATTGTATTCATTGGACTTCTTTTTAAATAAAGCTAAAATGCTTGTTTATGTAGGTATGTGTTTCGAAAAAGATAGGAAGTAGGACATCGGTTGTGTTGATAATATAGATAATAATATTTTTTCCTTTCTATTTTCTCTCTTTCAATTCCAACTCTGTTTGAATGACGTATATGAATCACTTAGATCCTAAATATAATTTATGTTTTATTTTTATAAATATCAATATACATATATACATACAAACATACAGAGATTCATACATACGTAATCCACACCCTTACCTCCCACCCGCGCGCACGCACGCACGCACGCACATACGCATGCACGAACAAACGTACATATATATAGCAACAATCTATATATATATCATCATAATTCATTAGTACTACTTTTAATTTTTCTTTACTTTTCTTAACACAAGTTTTAACAATAAGAATTCATTCTAATATTCTTCTATTTTTTTGTTCATTTCTCTTTTAGAATTTTATTTATATCTCTTTTAGAGTTGCAATATCGTTATTTGTGCTAAAGATTAAAAATTGTTTTCTAGTCTTTAAACGCATATCTGTATAATTTTACTCTCAGTTTCACAATTAATTGCTCTCTGATATTCTTTTATAATTTACATTATTTTATATATATTTAATAATAACAATCAGCTTTGAATTATATATTAACTGTAAATTTTTATTTTAATATTATATACAATTTGAGTTTTTTAATAACATAGTAAGAATCATATGGTATATTATAGTATAGTTACTAAGTATATAAATTAATTAAAAATTTTATATAAGTATAAGATATTTTTTACTAAATAGTTCTAAAAAATAATATAATTTTTTACCTAAGAAAAAAAATTTTAGGCTGTCATCACAAAAGATGTTTTATATTTTCTCTTAAATTTGTATAAGTTTTTAGCTATTATTATACGGATATGATGCACAGCGGAATCGGGACCTTTTAGTTATGTTTTCATGTACATTTTTTTTAGAGACGTCCATATGTCACTGAAGTATACATCATATATATTTTTTTTTAATTTGAAGGAACAATTCATTTCTGTATTCTAATCGTTCATAATGGATTAATTTTTTTTTTAATGTTCCTGGATTTTAATTTCTGATATTAGCTTTTGTTTTTATTTTATAAGCATAGTTTTACGTACACTTTATTTTTCTTTATTTAGCAGGCCTTAATTTATAAAGATTTCTTTAATATTTCGCTTTATTTTGTTTTTATGCTTGTTTTGATCAAAAGGCTTTATTTGTATTGTTTAATTGATAATAGGCATCAATAATATTGCTTCTTCGTTGATATATTTTAAATAAAAATCATTATAATATATATCATAATAATATACTTCATTTATAACATTATTTTACTAAATTTTAATATTTCGTTATAATTTATTTAAATAATTCATACTAAAAATCTATTTATTTTAAGATATTTTAAGTAATACGTAATACATTTTAAGTAATAATATGTAATAAAAATACAAAAAGTTGATTTATTTTTAAAAAGTTAAATTGTTTAAAACAAATATTAAAAAGTATGTTATATTAAAAAATATTTTAACAATATTACTTTATTCAATACATCCATATTTTCAATATATATATATATATATATATAAAACAAATTATCTGGAAAAATTGTAAGATTATTCATAAAGTATATCATATTATTACATTAAATTTTTGTATTTCATAAAAAAGCAGACATTTATATTTTCTGATAATTAATTTCAATATGCTCCTTTTGTTTATTATGTTTGTTACCTTTTAAACATCATTGAAAATTTGTTTCTATCAAAGTCCATTTTAAATTTCTTCCATATGTGGAATTATGTAGTAAACATTTTGAGATTCTATATATACTGAACATATTTTTAAGTAGTAATATTTCAATAATATAATATATTTGAATATTTACTGAATAATTGAAGAATTACTAAAACTAAAACGACTGTATAATTTCAAACGTTTATTTTGAAAATTTGGTATTTATAATTTTAGTGTATTATATGTAAGAAATGGCCGTTGAAGAAGATATATTTACAAAAATTAAAAATTTTTTTTTAAAAAATGTCATTGTTTTTATGAAAATGAATTGTTTTTTAGAATAATTCGATTTATAATTCAATTGTGAAATTAGTAAAATTAATAATAAATCCAAATAAATATTAAATTAACGCGTTCAATAAAGTTAGGAAAAGGATTTCGAAATCATCAACGTAAGTAAAATTTTTAAAAACCTTGAATTTTGCAAGAACAGCAAGGCAAGCACCTGATTGAAAAGATGATTTCATCATGCCTCACACTTAATGCTAAGGTTTCGTACCGTATTAGTTGGTTTGTTTCTTCATTCATATTTACACAAAGAATATACATATATATATATAGTTTCTTTATTAAAATTTTCAAACGCAATCGTTGCATTGTTCAAATTATAAATCATTTTAATTATACAATTAAAATTTTTTTCTTTTTATAATTATTTATTACTTTTATAATGCTTTATGTCGTTGTTTCAGAATTATTTATTTATGGATCTCCGGTGTTAATATTAAATTTATAAATTCTATTTTCGATTATTTATAACTTCTGTAATTATAAAAATTGCTGAAGTCTTTCATTATAACAATTTTTAATAAATCAATTTTGAATACGTTATTTCCATTGATATGCAATAACAAGTTTAATAACAATGAATTGATAATACAATATTTAGAAATATTATATATATTACCAAAAGTTCCTGGAGGAAAAACTATTCTCCATTTGCACTCATTTTCCATTTGATTTTCGCTCTTATGATCATACATAAAATTTCTTGAAAATACTGTACTTTTATCATTTCTTCCGATTTTATCGAATACTTTCATTCTATTCAGCTAATTATTACATTATAAGTTTACGTTAAGTATTTAATAAGTAAGAAAAACGATTCGATTTAGCAATAGAAATGAATATATTTTTCGGCACATTATTTAAATGGTTTGTTGAAATATTCTAAACCGATATCTTTAAATGTATTATATTTTTTTAATATATGAAAACTTTATTTACACTGTATATGTTATTATTTTTTTATTAATATAATTAATAAGTGTACTTAATAACAATAGATATTACAATTTTGAACATTAATGTGATTAAAATTTTAATAGTTTATTTCCTTTATATTTTCTATTAAATAATTTCGATAATATATTTATTTTATTATTTTTTGTAGAATTTAAATAATAGTAAGTTTATAAAAAACTAAGTTTTGTGTGAATAATTTATATAATTATTAATAATTATTAACAATTCAATAGTTTTTCTTGAAAAACAGCAAATACTTTTTTCAAAAGCTTTTACTACAAAATTTTGTTGAGATTATATTAATTACATATTATTTATTAATCTGTATCTCGTATAAGAAGATTTTTTAAAATCTATTATTATATTCTAAAGTATATCGCAATTTTTATTTACACTCATTCAATTTCATTTCCTTTAAAACTTTTCGAATACATTATTAAATTTTGGTAGTACTTTAA